TCCCCTACATAATGCAACACCATGGTCAGCATCCCTCAGCACTTCAAGGGATGAATTATAAAACAAAGAATGCCAGTCAACTGAAATGCTGTGAGGGACCACAACTAAAAACAAACATACATTTCAGCTGAGTTTTTGTATTATTTACTTATATCACTTAGGCCCACTCAAGTGCCTTTATGAGACATAAGCCTTTTAATAATTGTATTGGTGGCTGGGGATGTTGCTCAGTGCTTTCTACCCTGTTTCCCCGAAAATAAGACATCCTCCGAAAATAAGACCCACTTACAGCTTTCCTTCTGAGTGAAATATAAGGCATCCCCCCGAAAATAAGCCCCCCCCCAGGCTAAACATGAGAGATTTGGTCCACTGATTCTGAAAGAAATGGACTCACAAGAAATTCACCAGGAAATTCAGGAAATGGATTGTTATGATGATGTTCCAGAAGATGATGACATGATTGTCACTGAATAAATTAGTAAATTCTTGATACTGTAGGATTCAGTTTGTCTGGTTTGTGTTGACAACTACCATACTACCCTACCGTATACAGGTAATAAAGTTCCTTTATTTTCATTTAACAATAAATGTGTACCGTATTCTTCTTCATGGAAAAATAAGACATCCCCTGAAAATAAGACCTAGCACATCTTTGGGAGCAAAAATTAATATAAGACACTGTCTTATTTTCGGGGAAACAGGGTATTATATCTAACCATAGTTATCCAAGACATTTCCTTACATACCTAAATCCTTTAGTGGAGATTCCACTGTTGTCTATCGGTGATTGTTCATAAAAATTCACACTTATGATTGCATGAAAATCTATTAGTACCATCAATGTGTGCTGATTCCATGCTCCTGTTAAGGGATGAACCCACTATAGCTTCACCTCCTTCATAGGGTCTTGATTTTACAGTAACACAGTTTCAGTGATAACATTTCTAATAGAAAATATATGTTTCAACTAGCTAAAGGGAGCAGAGCACAACATTTGCATTGCATTCAGTACATAATGAGTACTGTTCTTTACCAAGCCTGGAAACACGTATTCCTTATTTATTTCTCCAGCCATTTTGAAGACTTACTAATAGTGTCTCTGCCTCTAATCTCTGTTCCATTTGTCCATGCATACTGTTCCCAATATGGCTCAGGAGGTAGTGTGGTGTAGTGTTTGAGAGTCTGGATTTTGTGGCTTAACTGCCTCAGTTCAGCTCTCATGCTCCTCAGCATGTGATTTAACATTGTACAAGTTACTTAGTATTTCTATACCTTACTTTCCTCATTTTTAGAATGAAGCTAATGCTAATAATCTTTTCCTAGTGTTGTTTTCAGAATCAAGTAACTACAAATATATGTATATATTCACATCTATAGAGTATGTATAATATATTATACATACTCTATAGATGTGAATATATACATATATTTGTGTATATATATTTTATATATATTTATATAAAAGCCTAAGCAACTGAATGACTGGTCACTATGATGCACACTGACCACTAGGGAGCAGATGCTCAATGCAGGAACTGCCCCCTGTTGGTTAGTGCACTCCCACAGCCAACCTCCTGCAGCTGGCCAGTCTCTCTCAGCCCATTACCCTGACTGGCCAACCTCTCATGGTCCCTCCCTCCAGTCGGCTTACTTCCTGCAGGCCCTCTCCTTGGCCAGCTGGCCCTGATGGCCTTGATTGGGGGGCTGGCCAAACTCCCATGGCCCCTCCCCTCAGCTGGCCAACCTCCAGCAGCCCCAATTGGCCCTCATCACCAGTCAGTCCAAGGGACCTCACCCTTGCTCAAATTTATGCACTGGGCCTCTAGTATATAATAAAATACTATGTAGAAAAGTATCTGGCACAAAGTACTCAATAAATGTCAGTCACTGTTATTAATGTTGTTACTGTTATTATGAAATTACATTTTTTGTCATATTATTTCAGTTTGAAACAGATCAGATCCATGCTCTTTGTGTTTGTTAGGCCAAGGATTGAAATACAAAGCTCCGAATGGATGGATGTATAGAAGCCCTGGCTCATATGCTCAGTGGTTAGAATGTTGGCCCTTGCATCGAAGGTCCATGGGTTTGAATCCTGGTCAATGGCATGTGCCTGGGTTGCAGGTTCAATCCTCAGCCCCCGTTGGGGCATATGCGGGAGGCAACCAGTTGATGTGTCTCTCTCACATTAATGTTTCTCCTCTCCTCCCCTCTCCTCCTTTTCCCTCTCCTCCCCTTTACTCTCTTTCCCTTCTCTCTCCTTACCTTTCCCTACCTCTCTAATCCTTCCTCTCTCTCTGTAAATCAATGGGAAAATTATCATTGGTTGAGAATAAAAACAACAACAACAAAAATAAGAATGAAGACACGTGGTATTAGAACTGAAGTAAGATTAAAAATCTATGTCAGCCTCAGGTTTAAATTGCTTGTTGATCAGGGACCAAGGCCCTCCTTGTGAGCTGGGTCCCAACCGCCCTATAAAGCATGGCCAGAAGGGCAGGTAGGTACATGCTGACTAGCACATGAGAAAAGTAGCTCTGACTTTTTTAACCATGAGGAGCACTGAAAAACGACTCCCTAAATATCTAAAATTATACAAAACATGCTTCTGTGCTAATGATGGCCAGTTACCAGTGAAAGGAAAGGAAAAATACAGAGGAATTTGGAGACAGTGGTAGAGGAATAAATAAAGGCAGGGGGAAAAAACATGGAAAATTTAGAGAAATTCCCACACAAACATGCATACGGAGATTTACACTTTTGTATGGAGACATACACTTTGATATGGTTAGCTTCTTATTTTGTGGCCTTAACATGGGCTCTTCAGGAACTTTGGTCCAAATTCTGCCCCTAGTCTTATGCCTCATATATCCTTACCTTATAATAAACCTTCCTCACAACCATTTTTTGTATATTTTCCTTTTGGTCCCAGTTCTCTCTCCCTGTCCCTCTCCCTGTCCTTCTCCCTCTCCCTGTCCCTCTCCCTCTCCCTCTCCCTCTCCCTCTCCCTCTCCCTCTCCCTCTCCCTCTCCCTGTCGCTCTCCCTCTCCCTCTCCCTCTCCTCTCCCTCTCCCTCTCCCTCTCCCTCTCCCTCTCCCTCTCCCTCTCCCTCTCCCTCTCCCTCTCCCTCTTTCTAAGAGCTTAAATTTTTTTTCTATTCCTTCAGTGAGCATCTTCAGCACTTAATTTCATTTTACCCCCCTAGAGCCATCTGCTGGTTTTATCACTAGCAATAGTTTTCAAGTGACTGGATTATGTGTTTTAGAAGGTGGTTTGTCTTCTACCCAACATTTGAGCACTAAAGAAACAGTATGATGATTTGTATGATATTACCTTGATCATATAAAAAAGCTAGTGATTAGACCTATATCAGTGTAGTAACAGGCAGATATTCCCAGCATACTTTGATACATCCTACATAATAAAACTCTAATATGCAAATTGACCAAAAGGCAGAATGACCCATGGAATGACTAGTCACTATGACAAGCACTGACCACCAGGGGGCAGATGCTCAATACAGGAGCTGCCTGCTAGTGGTCAGTGTGTTCCCACAGGGGGAGCACCATTTGGCCAGAAGCTGGGCTTATGACTGGTGAGCACAGTGACAGTGGCAGGAGCCTCTCCCACCTTTGCTGCAGGTGGGCAGTAAGGAGTGAGGGGTCCCAGAATGCGAGAGGGATGTCTAACTGTCCCTAAGCCAGCAGCAGACATCCCCCGAGGGGTTCCAAGCTGTGAGAGGGCACAGCCCAGGCTGAGGGACCTCTCCCAACCCTCCCAGTGCATGAATTGCATGTACCAGGCCTCTAGTTTGCCTATGAAATTATGAAAGCATATAGGGGGATTAGTAGAAGGCAAAGGTTAATCTTTGGAGAGGCAGACTCCCTGTTTAATGGGCAAGTTCATTTCAAAGAAGAAAACTGTTGAATAGGCCACATCTGCTCTTCCATATTAGAGCAGATGTGGCCTATTCAACAGCCCATTTGTTGCTTTTGAAGGGTACTTTGTGGTTTAAGGACTTTTTTAAGTTGTGCATTCTTTTCCTGTTAGCTACAGATATTTTAGTGCCTAAACTGTGCCAGGAATTTATTGTATATTCAAGAAACTAAGCTACATGTGCAGAAAATAAAAACAATTAGAATGGTTAATAATTTCTTTTCATTGTGTGCATGTGTATGTTCATGTGTATCTACTTCCCCCTCACCTCTTTCCCAGAATTCATTTGGTGAGTGAAGACTAGTTAAATGTCTTGGAGTTATAGAAAATTAAAGACAAAATAAGTTATTATCATAGGAGCTATACCAAAGGAAATAGAGAATGTGTACTTGTACTATGACACAAATAATTAAGACCTAACTGGGAATGATATGAAGAAAACCGATATAGAATTCTTGAATAATGTACTGAAAAGTAAGTTCATGTGATTTTACCAAAATGTAATTATTTAAAATCAACATTCTGTGAAATAGGTGAAGTTTGTTAGAGCATATATCAATATTTAATATATTTTGTGAACAGAAATCATAGGTCTAAAAATTATTAAATTCTCTATCAGAGCTGGTCCTCTGATTTCAAACAGCATATTAATAGGTAACTTCTTAGGAAATGTGATTCCACTCATATTTTCTGTCATTATGTAAATCTTTTACATGTGACTCAACTATTCACTCAACTCAATTTCATATTTGTAAGTTTCATAGCTCACCTCAGGGATATATTTTTGGCAGTTTAAATGCTATCGATGACTAATGATTATGCAGTTAACATAAAGTTTAGCTTCAGTAATATTATCTTAATGCTATGAGGATGATTTAATTTCTTTAAAACTGAACAGCTATTTTTTAAACTTTCGTGCAAATACTCCTTTGGAATGTTTAAACCAAGCAAAAATAATATTTTTTAAACCTAGGGAGAATTCATTTCATGCAGAATTTTACAATATTGTCTATACAATTATCCCCACTAGAGAGAGAAATAACAGACTATTCCTTATCTTACAGATTAGCTCAGTGAAAATGTTGCGGCCTCGTCTCAATAGCATTCTTTTCAAGCTCACATTTGAAGAACATGTAAACAACATCAAACCAAGCATCATAGCAGTGACTCTTGCTTGTGAAGAATTGAAGAAAAGTGAAAGCTTTAACAGACTTTTAGAATTAGTTCTTTTGGTTGGAAACTACATGAACTCAGGCTCAAGAAATGCCCAGTCCTTGGGTTTTAAGATCAACTTCCTTTGTAAGGTAAGATAATATTTTTATTTATTACACTTTATAATGCTAATTTACAATAGTTTCCTCTATGCGGGGTCATTCTGAATAGCAATAGTATACAATCCAAAACATGTATGCTTTAAAAAGGGTGAATGTTATGATATGTGAATTATATATCAATTAAAACAGATAAAAAGCCCTCACTGGTTTGGCTCAGTGGATAGAGCATCAATCTGAGAACTGAAGGATCCCAGGTTCGATTCCAGTCAAGGGCACATGCCTGGGTTGTTGCCTTGATCTTCAGGAGGGGGCATGCAGGAAAACCAGCTGGTGATTCTCTCTCCTCATTGATGTTTCTATTTCTCCCTCTCCCTTTCTCTCTGAAGTCAATAAAAAACAAATAAACAAACAGATAAATAGCTCAGCTAGTGTTGCTCAGTGGTAAGCATCAATCTATGAAACAGGAGGTTATGGTTCGAATCCCAATCAGGGTTCATGGGGGCTAGGTCCCCAGTTAGGAGGCATGCGGAAGGCAGCTGATGGGTAAATCTCTCTCATAATTGATATTTCTATCTCTTTCTCCATCATCCTTCCTCTCTGATATCAATAAAACATACATATATTTTAAAACACAGATAAATAATTTTTCAACTGCATTAAAATCTCAATGAGTGTGCAAATTGTTTTGTAGTATGGTACTAAACTCTTTCTGATCAAATATTACTAGAGTTTGTAGATCAAGAAAATGTACTTTTGTAATATACATGAAATCTTGAATTTCAATCTCTTTATATTTATTTTATGCCTCTCCAAAAAGTATTTGAGAAATGAAATTCAGTGAATAGCCAGAAACTTCTTCTTGAATGTGCTTTTCTTATTCCACTCTAAGAAAATAATACTCTTTATTGTTGAATAGTGTTGTGTTACTAAGCATATACTATTGATACATATATGTTGCACTTACTAAAATTTTTAAGAAATCAAGTAATAATTGCCTTATTGTTTTGATTGAGCCATTACATAATATTATTTTTGAGATTTTAATTCTTGTAAAAATTAAACAAAGAAACAAAATTACAAAAGTGATTATATATATCCTTTTCTAGGCTAGAGTACACTACCTTATTCAGAAAAAGATCTGTCTGTTGTAGAAAAAAAACCTGAACAGACTGAGGTGACGGCCTTTGTAGAATGCTAGAGATGAAAATAAATCTGAAAACAAGCAATCTATCTTTGATATCTCAACGTTCTTTCACCTTTTTTCCCTCTCACATCTGAAAACATTACAGAATTTTGGTTAGTTTTTCAAGTGTATTATTATGAGAATCTTAGATCTAGGAATGGATATAAATTTCTTTTCTATTCATGCATTAAATAGATGTGCATTACATATATATGGACAAGCATTTTAATATGTATCAAATATGATTTGCTTCTGGTAGTTTTAACTCAGACATAAAAAATAGCATTTGTAGCTAATAGGATATATAATGGAATTCTATCTTTTTGCTCCTGATTTATTTTTGAGGGATATAAGGGAAGGAAGAAAGAAGATACCCAGAATGTTAAATTCGTCAAAAAAAAAAAAAAAAGATCTTATTCCTTTTCTTGTGATATTAGGGGACATGTGAAATTATGTTATAATGCCAGAGAGACTAAGGCAGTCCTTCTAATAAACTGGAATAAATCATAGCCAGATTTGTAGGACAGAAGTAAATATTTAAGACTTTTTCATTGTATTGCATATCATATATTATAAGAAAATAACCAAGATGCTACTTGTTTAGAGTACATGCTGTATATACAATGAGTGAATCTTAAAGTGTTCTTAGTTGATGGTTATAAAAATATTAGAAATTAAAAAAAATATCATTGGCAATTTGTATTATATACCTATTTCACATTTAATTTATATAAAATATTTTAAACAAATGTTTAAAATGTACCTCTTTAAGTGTCTTAATTACACACTATTCAAATTAATTACAAGAACAGATTTTTTAAAGCAAAAATGACTAACTCATTTATATTCAGGAACAAAAGATGATATTAATCTCACAGAAGGATTTTACAGTTGCATCTTATATTTCGGAGAGAGGCTTTTTCCTGTCATCTCCCTGTCAAATACAAGTTCTTCCTCACAATGCTGCTCTGACATCTATCACTAGAGGGATGCTCAAAGGATTCAGCACAGAAATTTTTGCCAACTTCAAGTAAAATAAAAAATAATCTTGTGGGAAATACTATCATGTAGTAATAGGTGTTCTAAAAGAGAAAGAGGTGAATGTTTTAAAATTCACCCCCCCCCCAATTTTCAGTAGGATTTTTTCTTATCATTAAGAAAAGAGAAATATCATATATATGCATAATATCATGATATTCCCATAATGTCTGGAACGTTCATTGAATATAAAGGATTCTCAATAGATATAAATGTCTAAAATGACAGAAATTTACTGAAGTACATAGAAATAGCTTAAGTTTATAATCTGTTCAAAACTGAATTAACTAAGTACTGATGTGTGATTAGAATTGCTGTTAAATTCCAGTTATATTATAAAAGACTACTTGATTGATTTTTCTTAGTGTTATTTTTTCTTAAAAAATAGCGCAGGGAACTTTCTTTGTAGAGCACTGATTAGGCTATAAATATATACCATTCAACCACCTAAATTATTCTAGTGGTAATTTTCTTTCTCAATGAATTTAAAACTTCAACTGAACATTTTTCACAAGAAGCTATAGAGTATGTTAAAATATTCACCTAGCTACAAAGGAGCCAGTTAAACTTATTAAATGTATCTTGTAGTAAAGTCATTAAAAATTCAGATGGCCACAGTTGGCTCCTGCAATATTTGGGAAGAGAAAGAAAACAGAGGGCTTAACCTAAATGTCAAATCTCACTAAAGGGTATCATTACTATAAGTACTACCCTCACCAGAAAATGCTTTGTTAATTTTCAGCAGTAAATTATCACTTTGTGAGTCACCAAACTAGGGGGCTAAATTATAATAAAAATCACTTCCAAGCAGATGAGGTCCCGGTGTTAGCTTGGCCTATGCTTGCCTGCTGGTTATTAATATTCTAACCAATAGCAATGTTGCACAACAGGGTCATTTGTTTATGTTTTCAGCTTATAATAACATATAATCTGCATAAAAACAGAATGTTTAAAAATACTCAGCACTCCCTAGGCACTGAGCTTTGTGGGTACTATAGCAGCCAGGGTTCTTTGTTTGCAAACACCAAGAAGTGCTTCTGCCTGATGTAAGCAAAAAATGGAATTTAATGTGAGGGTATAAGGTAGCTTAGCCAGAAAATGAACAAAGGGGGAAGAACTTGGCCTTTAAAAGAACAGCAACTGTGGCAGCTTTGAGAGTGCAGGGAGCAGGAATTAATCAAGTCTTTTCAGGAATTGTCTTTTGGGTGTATTAGCTCCAACCATTTTTCTCCTCCTTTCCCTATGTTTGATTGAAATTCTAATTATAAAGAGAAACTACTTAGCATAGTTTAGCAAGCAGAACAAGAGCACCCCTTGATTGACAGTGCTACCAAGACTACCTGTGATGGTCATGCCCCAAAGCTGCCTTTAACAAAGATAGGCATATCAAAGGCTGGAGTCAGGTAAAGAGATATCAGGCAGGCTTGTTTGAACAAAGGCACAACAAAAGAGTTCATTGGTCCTTGGGGGGAGGGAGTCCTACTTTACAGCAGAGGAGACCTTGAGAAGCTTATGGCACAGTAGAATAGCCAGGAAATATACATAGAGAGTACTATGTAACATCACAGAATACACTGTCAAAGAATACAAAAATTAATGGTGAATGAAATGACCCTGTGATTAGTGAGACTTCAGAGAAGGGAATAATTTTTTATGAAGAGGATGGAGATAGGAAATAAGGTAAATTGGAAGAGAACGATCTTGAAGAATAGGTAGAAGTCCGTTATATGAAGAGAAGAAGCCATACCCTTACAATACAGGAGAGCACTGTGCTCTGAACCTACATTTTTGCTTCCATTTTGCTAAATCACTTTCTTTAACCAAACCTCCGTTTCCTCATCTATAAATGAAGGAATACAGTGACCCTTATTTATTTTAATAGGGCTGTTTTCACAATCAAATAAAATGATCTTGGTCACAGTTCTTTGGAATTTTTTAATATTAAACAAGTGCTGATAGTTATTTTTTTTAAAAAAAATATATATATTTTACAGAGAGGAAAGAAGAGGGATAGAGAGCTAGAAACATCAATGAGAGAAACATCGACCAGCTGCCTCCTGCACACCCCCCACCAGGGATGTGCCCACAACCAATGTACATGCTCTTGACCTGAATCTAATCTGGGACCCTTCAGTCAAAAAACCAATGCTCTATCCACTGAGCAAAACCGGTTTCAGCACTGATAGTTATTTTTAATGATAGTACACAACTAGGAATAATCATGTATTTGAGGATGAATGAGACGGCCACACTGCCTGGAATATTGGTAGTATGTGTGTATGTTGGAAACAAATGATAACATTGGTAGGTAGGTTGTGAAAAGAGTTATTTACACACTGGTTTAGATATCTTGCCTCCATAAATATATACATATCAAAATTATTCACTGCCAATTTCATAACTTGTGAAGGCCCAAAACCTTTCTTCTTTTGACTTGAGTTAATATCTCCTTCACCTATACTATGACTTTCTAGTCATTCTATGATAGTTAGAAAGACATAACATGCTTTTGTACAGATGTGAAATATGTCATACAAAGAATCTTTTATTTTTATTTTACATTTAAAAATATATATTTTATTGATTTTGTACAGAGAAGAAGGGAGAGAGTTAGTTAGAAAGATAGATGAGAGAGAGTCATCGATCAGCTGCCTCTTGCACACCCCCTTATTGGGGATATGCCCGCAACCAATGTACATGCCCTTGACTGGAATCGAACCTGGGACCTTTCAGTCCCCAAGCCGATGCTCTATCCATTGAGCCAAACCAGTTTCGGCAATACAAAGAATCTTAAGAAAACATTTAGGTT